ATATATATATATATATATGTCCACATTATAATTTCTCATAACTTATTATATCATTTTTTTCACAACTTACATCTTTGAGTTCGTATTTTGTATTTATATTTCCTGCTACCGATGGTATGATGGCATTTATAGCTGATATTGAAGATGATCCGAAACTGAAAATGATAAAAGATTTATGTTATATAAAATTTCACAAATAAAATGTAATTTGATCTAAAATAAAATCCATAACAATTTAAACTATAATAATAAGAATAAATTTATATCTTCCCCTAACTACGTAGGATTAATTGATTTTTCTAATTAACGTTCTACTTCACTTCTAGGTTTTCTGTGATAGTAATGTACAAATATATGTAAAAATAAAGGAATACTAACTATTTCCTGAGGTCCATCCATTTGTTTCTAATGTAATCAAATGTGAGTGACTGTCCGGCAACGTTGCTGGCAACCGATTCGAAAACTTGATTAGCATCCTGTTTTCTGATTCCCGAATTTTCCGTCACAGCCCAATCTAAATATCGACTCAACAACCATATCTCTTTTGTGCAGGATAATGCCTGTAAAAGCAGATCCTTCTCCGATCCAACGTTGGCTGCTAGATACCGTTGCCAAGCGAATTTCCACTCGCTTTGTCCACCCACTCGAATGGCCGTGCAATAAACCACGCTCTTCAAGTTCGGTGGAACCCTAAACATAAAATCTGTAATAACTACATATACGTATTAAATTGCTTTATTAATTACTTTCTAAAGATAGCGAAAAATTTACAATATTGCAATTAATATATTTAACACAAACAGGATGAATCAAACAAGAATTGCGATCATGTGCATTGAAAAATCTAACAGTGTGTATCAACAAATAATTTTGTTTTAAATTATATAATATGTGATATTTCTATTTACGGATTATTAATATCCGGATTAGGAGTGTTACGCCAATATTTGAAGTATTGCACAGCTTTCATAACGCAATGCTCATGGTCGAGATAACATGCCCAATTTAAAATATTAATTCGATTGAAGACTGTCATCTGAGGATCTTCTCGTTTATCAACAAAACCGACTTGCTTGTATGCATTATCAAGTAGCTTTAACATGTGCAACTGAAAGGTATTAAACAGTATGAAAGATTAGAATTAATAAGATATTATACATACCTATATATTTTATACTAATGTCATGAAACATCAAATTAAACAATCATTGAAATTTATTTCTCACAGATATCTATTACTCTTGATCGACGATAATTTACCCTAAATTTATCGTAACCTCGTGATTTGATTAACATATTGTTGAGATAACTTAGAGCCCGGAAAGCTGCTTTCCAGGGCAAATATTCGGTTTCATGGACCAAATAAGATGTGATATTGAAAGCGATATCATAATCGAGTTTGCCAGCTCTAGCCAAGTTAAGAGCGTCATCGACCAATTGTGCTCGGTTAATTACCGAGATATTTTTGAAATTTTTAATATTGTTCAATTGTTTTATTATCAGCTTCCAGTTTGTCGTGTCATAATTCACTCTGTAATATCCTATCACAAGCGCAATATTGAATATTATTATCGTACTTATTTCTTCATATTTTAAATAATAAATAATTCTATCACCTTTTAAAATATTTTATCGGAAATATATTTTTTTCTAAAAATATCAGCAACTTCCATTTGTTTACAATTGCTTTTTAAATAAAACATTTATGTTATTACCAGGAGATTTACTCTTCAAATATTTCTAATAAATTTAAAACAAAGTTTCACAGAGATATTAATAGAATTAGTCCAAAAAAATTATTTAATAATTAATTTTTGAAAGAAATCAGAGATAAATAATAAATTACGGATTATAAGAATATTTTTTTATTTTTGCCACAGAAAAATAATTACCAGTTTCTTGCACGTTAAAAAGTATCCATTGAGACGGTTTCACATCTAAATCGTTAAGAGTGATCGAACGTTCTGCTTTCATCCATTTTGTAGGTTGAGTGTTATTGAAGTTTAATTGCTTCTCAGTCGTATAAGTAATTGGTATCCACCATAATGGTTCCCACTTATCAGATGTGATTCTCGTAACATTATTGTCAAGCAGAAAACGTTCCTGCAAAAAATAAAAAGGTGATACATACAATGATATATAAATCGCTTACCAAACAATTCATTAATCAAATAACTATATCTTATTAATAGCGTTATAATAATATTGTATGTATATATTTTATAATATTTTATGAAAACAATATTTGTATGTAGGATAGAGAAAATATTGTGAATAGAGAATTATTACGAATAAGACACTTCTTAAGTTTTATTAAGTAATAATTGTTATTGAAATATGTCATGCTTTATTAAATCAGCATTGCATGTGTACTTATTAGCATACCTGCGTCAGTATAATACTACCATTGCTATAGTTCCGTAAGATAGTAACTATGGGAAAGCCGGTTTGCAGAGTCCAAGTATCCATTATTTTCTTAACAGTTATGTTCGGATCAAGTACCTTATCTTTATGAGCTTGTTTGGTCAAAGCGTGCCATAAATCATTTGACTCGGCACTTTGATAGGCTCTGAAAACACATAGAATTGTTAATTACAATATTTTCGAATTATATAAAAATATGTTTACATTTGTAACATTGCTAAAATATTATTTACATTATTTATAACATTGCAAAAATTTATTTACATTTATGATGATCAAGATATTACACATAATTACATGTAATAATTACTTTGTAATAGTCATGTTGCAAAATGATATTGGAGGGAGGGGAGGGCAATATTATTATTTTTAAATCGTTATTTATACAAAAAATTTTCTAATTAATCTTTACTTACTTTTCATTCAAATAATTAGTCAAACCCTTCTTAAAAACATCTGTTGTGAGAAAATGATCCATCATTCTTATTACGGCAGAACCTGAACAATTTCACAATGTAATATAGTTACACAGTTTTTTCGTTTAAAATCATCATAATTCATAGATCGTCATAAATTGTACCTTTTACGTAAGTAATGGCGTCAAAGACTTCATTGATTTCATCCGGATAGTCGACTTCAATAGATATAGGATGAGAAGATTCTAAACTATCTAAAATAAATGAACTTTGAAGTTCGTGAACAACGTATTGTTCCAGCACCCTCCACTCCGGTTCTACCTGTATATTACATAAATATGAAATTTACATTATGATATAATTTATAGAATAGATTTAAACGAATTCAAAGCATTTTACATGTTTTTAAATCAAATTTTTAAAAATATCAATTTACCAATATACAGTGTCACAATTTGACATTTTGCACGAAATGTAATCTCATATGAAATAGCTTACCGCATTCGTGCCAATGTATTCCATGTAACTAGCGAAACCCTCATTTAACCAAAGATCTGTCCACCAACTTGGAGTCACTAAATTTCCAAACCACTGATGCGAGAGTTCATGTGCTAGTACTAGAGCTATTAGCTGCTTATTATAATTGTCCGTTATACCATCCTCCTCTTTCTGGTGCAATATTGATATCTCTCTAAATTGATAAAATAGCTTACTAGGTATTTTCACATCTCACATAATTATTAGCGCCTTTTACATATATTTATTAATATAACTTATAATAATACAAGTATATATAAAAACTAATTCAAAAAGTTTTATAAATCTAACATTCCAAATATCATACTTTTACTAACACTCGCATAAATTATGTTCTAAAGTAAATTATTTAAATGTCGACGATATTTTCTGTTAAGATCAAATCAAATCTACCAGTAGCAAAATATATTGTCTTATTACTTTGTTGTTTTAAATGTTTGTTGATTAATCATGAATTAAAATGTAGAAATCAATATAATTATTCCATAAATTTATTTGCAAAGAAACTTCTGTCTTTTTTATATAAGTTATTAAATTATATTAATAAATGAAAATTTTACTATTAAATGTATACGTTTATGCAGTCAATGAAATCGTAGACCAAAATAGTTATCAAAAAATATCAATTTAGCAAAAAACCATGAAAATGTTTGCATTATAAAATATAACAAAACGATAATTGCCAAATTGTCTTTATCTATTTAATATATATAAGTAATTATGTACGTATTTCAAATATCTGAAGAATTCGGAAGAATAATGTATTGTGAAATATCTGAATAACTTTATTTTTATACCGCAATACACGTTTTGAAATTTTTTCTGTATTACTTAGAATGGGAAATGGAATTAATAATATTCTCTTACTTAATAATAAAGTAAATGTAATTTCGTTAATTTGCACTTGATAATCTTACCTAAACATCATTAACCCCCAATTCTCCATGGCGCCGGCGGAGAAGTCTGGTAACGCGGCTATGTCCATCTTTGGCAAAGGGTACTTGATCTTGAAATAGTCCTCATAGAATTTAAGCATTTTCGGTCCAATACTCAAGCTATAGTTTGTTTGAGCAATAGCATCATGACGCGCCCAAACTCTAAAGTCGCCATCTTTTGATTTTCTTACATCAAAATCAAAAACTATGAAAGACACCAAGTACGTAGACATCGGTACCGAACGCTCATAGTGATCCCACACGTACGTATCTAAATCGGGCCTGATTATTAAACAAAACAAAAGTATATTTCAAACTCTGTAATGTACTCACTTAAATAATTTGTCCTAAAATTATCTTTACAAAAAATCATCACACATCATTATTTTAAATTATTTCTTATCATATACATATTTTTACTAAATAATAGAAAAATGTTATCTCTATGAACTTATTAATATCAAATGTTGCATATATGATATACATTAGACTTTTTTAAATAACTATAATACTTAAATATATATATTAATTGCGTTAAATTTTATATTTCAAATTCTTTGCTCTAAATAAGAATCTAAATTATAAAGAGAGAACAAGTTGAATCATAAATTTAAGCACAATCGCAGAATTATTCCACAAAATATGAATCAGATTTACAAAAAGACATACATATACAATAACACAGCTGCGTTAATCCAAAAATATAATACAATTACTCACAGTGGCATCGTTTTTTCTTTTTTGGGCATATTTGAAAGAGATGTCATGTTTTGGGGACGCGCTATGTTGATCTGAAATTTGGCTTTCAAAGCTGGTTCATCGAAACATGGGAAAGCACGGCGTGCATCCGTCGGTTCAAACTGAGTCGTAGCAATCCATCTATAATGCAGAAACTAAATACCTTTGACAAACTGTCGACAATCCCTATCTGAAGACGCATGTTAATTAAACACGTAACACACAATGAGATTATTCAACGAATAATTATTCTATAATCAAAACACTTTGCGATAATAAGTATGAAACAATGTTAAAAATCAAGAAATTTTAGTGAAATAATTTTAAGAATATCTTTATACTATTTTTTTTTTAGGAAAGAAACTTAAACTTGGTTTTTAACATTCAAATTTATCTGTTACTACGATTGTAACACAATGCTTTTTCATTTAATTAAGTATTATATAAATTTTAGGTTTTAAATTTTATATTAATGATTGCAGTAGTAAATAAAACAACTTTCTATTGAAAAATTGCTGCTTAAATTTAATAGTATATTTAATTAAATCAAAACACAAAGCAATAAATCTAAATTTATATCACCCACAAAGTTTTATATTGTTTACCTTGTCTGATTACCAACTGTATATGAGCTTCTGTAGAAACCGTGCAACTCGTCATTCAAATATCCAATAAACTTAAGATGTATGATGTATTGTTTGTCTTTTTTCAACTTCGACGTTCTAATCACGTGAAATTGTCTATCGACATCGTTTTTCTGCTCCGTAATCCCGATTACCGTAGTCTTAT